TTCCTGCTGGGGATGCCATTGATTCCAGTAAGCTAAAGGACATGAAGCCACATATATCAGATGACTTATTCCACAGAGCAAGAAATGCAAGATTCTAAGGTTGAAAATGACAAATCCTAAGAACATTATAATATTGCAGCGTCGCCCATTTCAGGTAGGGCCTCTTCCACACCTAATCTGGCCCCCATTAACTTGGTTTGCAGTTTCAGGGTATATATATGATATGATCCAAAAGCTGGATTTCAAGGCGCAATGAAACAAATTACAAACCAAGAAAGAGAAGTTAGGATGTTAGCTTTCAGACAGAAAAAACAATCATATGAGCAATGATTATACATAACGAAATTTTACCAAGAACAAAGCATCTGAACAATCAAGAACTGCAAGACACAGTATATACATATGCGTCTGACTAATATATCTCACCCTTTCATTGAATAAATCGGACCCGGGGGGAAATAACGACTCAGATTTGTACCTCAGCCAAAAAAAAAGGATAGATGAAAGAAACTTTTTTTTTTTTTGCTTGCATGGCGTTTTGCAAGGTCCATGAACTCATGTAGCAACTAGCAAGTACTTGATTACTGGATGCGGGAAGTTTTCAGAGAATTACTTCACCATTGATATGATGGCTCTTTGCAGCAATCTCCTCTATCTGCCTCCATGCTTCTTCTCCTTTCTTCCTCTTAGTATCCTCTGATTTTCTTTCTTCTGTTTGAAACTTGAGCAAGCATTCCTCAAATAGTTCAGGATAGTTGTCGGAGATGACTTTCAGAACATTCTGTGTCAAGCTTTTGACGGCCTGATTCCAGTGACTGCTACCGTTTTTCTCCATGGCTGGAAATACTATCGGCAGAACGACTCTGCAGTTCTGTCTCACCAAATTACTGACATGGCCATTGCTCCACAAGTACAGAGCCCTTTCAGCCACCTGCAGGAGATAAACTCATTTACTGGATTAAACCCATTTGACCATTCAAGAATCCAAGAAGGGGAGATTGCCCGACTTACCCGAAAGTGAGAGCTGCTCAAACATTGAGCAACTTGGCGAAAAAGAGGTACCACACACAGTTCAAACTCTGCAGGTTGGGTTGCTTCTAATACTTCCTCCAACTCGTTCAAGAACATGACTTCTTTGGAACTATTAGTGACTGGCCAGTACTTGAGCAAGCCCCTTATAACCGTATCAGCAAGTTTACAATCTTTCTCCACAAACTGTATAATACAGTAGGAGAGTTGTTGATGGTAATTTGGAAGGCATTTCAGTTTGTGCAAAGGAATCAACACCCGGACAAGAAAGAGCTTGTGTTCTTCTTTAAGTGGAAGAGCAAAGCCATTGATGATGCTTCCCAAAACTTCAAGAAATTCAGAAATTCCGTAGTGTTTCCCTGTCTCGAACATAAACCGGTAAAAGATGTTGCTCATGGTTTTCCTGATGAACGGGCGATGAACCATAAACCTCCCATATATCCGGTGGAGTATTGTTTTTAGATACTCTCTCTCCCTTGGATCCTCCGAGTCAAACAAATCCAACAACATGAGTACAAAGGTATGATCAAGGTATCTCTTGGACAACTTTGGATCTGTGTTAGAAGATGCTACAAATCTTAGAAGGAATTCATACACGAGTTGCAAGTGGGGCCAAGCAGGGTTAAGACATGCCTCATCTTCTTCCAAGTCAAACACTTCTAGTGCTTTGTTCTTGCAGGGCTGGGAAGTGGAAGAAGACCTGAAGAGATTCACTGATATCATCTTCACAGCTTCTTGAACAAACAAATCAGAAAATTTTCCATTACCCGCTGAGATAACATAATCAACAAGTTCAAGCAGTGTTTGCCTTTTGATCTCCTTCTCTTTCAGGTTTCCTGAAGGATCGACGAAATCAAACACTACACAGCATAGCTTAAGCTTCTGAAGAAACACATCCTGCTTCTCAGAGACCGAAACATCCCTCAGTCTAGGCAATGGTTGGACAGGAACATAAGACATGTCTCCACTCGATCTCTGATCTAAATGACTGGAAATTTTGTCTCCCTGATTGTATCCTGAACTAAGATCATGACCAATGGCTATGTCTCCACTCATGGGCTCATCGTTTCTGGGACAAGCGTGCGTACCCAGATGAGAAGATGAAAAACCCAAAGAGTCACCATTATCAGAGAACTTCATAGAAGCCTTCTTAGGAAACTTTCCAAGAATCTGCTTGAACATATCTCAAGCCAGGATTATGAGTCAACTTCAACTGAACAGATAATCGAAATCGGAAGCTCCTTCGAAGGAGGAGACTCAAACCATCATCAGAGACCAATTTCCGTCATTTCAAGCGCAAAGGGCAAATAAAGGAACTACAGGACAATCAGATCCCAGACACCAAAATCCGATCCAAGAAAAAAAGTGAACCACTCCTAAGATCATCTCACCGAGAATCTCGACTACTCTTCCGAACATCTCTTCCAACTAAACGGGATAGAGACCAGGGTTTGACTCGATCCAAATATCATCACAGACCCAGATAGGAAACTAAAACAAAATCACAAAATCAAACTGAACCCAACAGAAAAAAAGAAGAAGCAACCTTTAAATCAAAGATCTGGGCTTCATTGAAGATAAAATAAAAAGGAGCAGAAGTCGATCGACCCATGTGATTTAACAATCAGAAGTACAGAAGGAAGAGTTTTGGGTAGTCAAAGAAAATATGTACTGGAGAAGAAGATGAGGAAGAACAAAGGTTTTAGCTTTATCATGGATATTGCTCCGTTGGCATCTTGAGAGAGAGAGAGAGAGAAAGAGGGCCGTAAGAACGAAGACGTTTTACTGTCCGCACAGGGAACAGTATCAAACCAATCGACATGCTTGACATGACGTTGTCATTACAGGGCTTGTCCGATTACTGCTGTGAACGAGTGAATCGAGCTCGCTCACGTGAAATGCCAATCACTGAACCAAATTGCAACCGCTTCAAGGATTTCATGAAGTCGTAAAAATCATTTCGTTGCTCGAGTTCCTGGAGTTTTGGAGTTTTCTGAGCAATGAAATTATCTATTGGGTGTTTTAAAAAATTGAACTTTTATCAAATTTATAAAACTATCATTCACATGTTGCATGAAACCTGATTAAAGCAACTAGAATGCAGATAAAAGAACTATCGTCGAAAATATATTATATACACGATTGTAAAATGCGACTAAAATTCAAAACTTTAAAAGAAAATTTAGGAAACGAGAGTGCCAGTTTTGTTTCTTTTAGAACATTACAACTGTAAAGTGCAAAATTTTAATACAACCAGCAAACTGATCTTTTGAATCTTTTCCTGAATGTGCCAATTTTGCAGGTAATCAAGCAGAAGAGTAATGAATAAGATAGTCTGAAGAATAAACAAATCAACGTTGTTGTTGCAAAAACCCATCAACAAGCTTCAACAAAACAAGCAAGAATATTGGAACAAAAGAAAAACTGGATCCCACATCTTTGCATTTTCCTTCAAGAAGATTAGATATAGGCCGATACAGCGATGCCCTTTTTCTCGACGCCCCCCAAATGATATCGATAAGCTTCCCGGAGAAAATCCCGATCCAGTCCAATCAGAAATCAAACAAGACACTGAATCTTCTCTAGAGCTAACCTTGTGATGAAGCCTTTAGTTTCCCAAGTTCTTCCAAGCGTTTCCACGTGGCTTCACGTCTTGTTTCTGTCTCAGCTTCTTTTGATTCGTCTTCCTTGAACTTGGCAAGGCATTCCTTGAACAGATCGGGATCAGGGTCGTGAAATATCTTCCTTACATTCAAAGTCAAGCTATGAACAGCCTGGTTCCAATGATTCTGAGCGTTTCTCTCAAGGGCCGGGAAAATAATCGGGAGAATGACCTTACGGTTTTGCATTATTAGGCTCTCAATGTGATCGTTGTTCCATAAGAACAAGGCTCTTTCTGCAACCTGCAAAATCAGAGAGACACAGATGCAAATGTGATATCCACTTATTGAACCTACATTACCCAATCAAGCTTATACGATATCGGCAAGGATAAGGTATCAACAACCTTTTCGGGCGAAGGACATAGATACATGTATATACCTACTATTTTGGTCAAGGGACTAGCCTTTCAGTACCATACAGATTTCAAGGCTACTGAAGCAGAATGAAAGAGAACCCGGAAAAATAAAAAGGATTCTTGGATTTCAGCTAACCAATTAACTCAGGCTGCATTTAGAAAAAAGTAAGATAGGATCATTCAGGATGAGCAAGAATCTCCTGTATATCCTTACTCTAGATGCTAAAATGTACGTCTAAAAAAATCCAAGAACCAGAGTTTTCTATGGGCAGTCCAAAAACTGAACACGAAAAAGAAATGAATCTCTTATCATAAATTGTGGAGTAATACTCCCAATATCCTATCCAGTAGGGATCAGCTATAAGGATTTCCGAGAAGCAAGAGGCCAATATATTTAGGAAACAATTCTAACTTGTGCCACTAAGGCAAGCCTAAAAAGGTTGAGCCTTTATCAACATAAAACTTGTACCAGTAGAAAAGGATATAGATATGTGTGTGTGTCTGTGTGTCTGTGTGTCAAAAATTTCCAGAAATAAACTCAGGATGTGATCAAGCAAATGCAAGTGTGAAAGGATATGTATTGAAAACAAATATGAAATGCCATAATTTTGAGAACAGAGAATAACATTTACCTGAAAGTGCAAACTGTTCAAACAACGAGCTATTTGGCGAAACAGCGGCACCATGCACCTTTGGAACTCCGGTGGCTGGGTTGCTTCAAGAACTTCCTCCAACTCATTCAAGAACATGACCTCCTTTGAACTATTTGTCACGGGCCAGTATTTCAACAGCCCCCTTATAACCGTGTCAGCAAGTTTGCAGTCCTTTTCCACGAACTGGGTGATACAATAAGACAACTGCTGATGGTATGTTGCCAAGCATTTCGGCTTGTGGAGAGGTATCAAGGCTCGGACAAGAAACACTTTGTGCTCTTCCTTCAACGGCAGAGCAAAGCCATTGATGATGCTTCCCAAAATCTCGAGAAATTCAGCGATCCCATTATGTTTCTCGGTCTCAAAAATGAACCGGTAGAAGATATTGTTTATTGTTTTCCTGATGAAAGGCCGATGAGCCATGAATTTCCCATATATTCGGTGGAGAATGGTTTTCAGGCAGTCTCTTTCTCTTGGGTCCTCTGAATCGAATAAATCCAGCAACCGAAGGATAAAAGATTGATCTATGTATCTCTTGGCCAACTTAGTGTCGGTTTCCTGTGAGGCAACAAACCTCAAGAAAAGCTCGTACACAAGCTGCAAGTGAGGCCAGGCAGGATCCATGGATGGCTCTTCCTCCTCCAGATCAAGTGCATCGATAACTTTGTTCTCACGTGGTTGAGGATTTAGGGTTCTGAATATGTTGGAAGAGACCATTTTAACGAATTCTTGGATAACGGTTTCGCTGAACTTCCCATTGGCAGAAGTCACATAATCCACAAGCTCCAGTAATGTCTGCCTTTTAATCTCTTTTTCCTTGATGTTCTTCGTCGGGTCAGTGAAATCAAACACCACACGGCACAAACGCAGCTTTTTGATGAGCAAGCTCTGCTTTTCTGCATTTGGAACATCTTTAAAACCGGGCAGTGGCGCTTCATATGGGGCGAAAACACTGTTTCCACTGGCCTTCAGATTCCCGTCTTTAGATCCTGCAGGAGGAGGAGATTTGATAGCCGGAGTGTTCTTCGTAAGTGAATGCCCTGATCTGCCATTGCCATTGCCATGATCGCTGCTTTTTGAAGTAGATGCAGAAGCTTGGGATGAAGAATGGCCACCATGTTCTCGTCCACGCTGGTCATTTTTCAAATGCTTTTTGGGAAGCTTACTCAGAATCTGCTTCCACATAGTTCATATATAACACGGAACAATCCTCTGGCCCTCTATCAAAACCAGGATTCAGATACTCAAACGCATCACCGACGAAACCTATAATGGTGAATCCATCGTCAGAAACTGAAAGTGCATCCTTTTATCTTCTGAGAAAAGTAAAAATCCAAAACAGAACCATGAACACTACGCATGACAACCATGGAAATACCAATCTTCGTCACAACAGATCGACAGATGGCTATGAGCAAAATCAAATCACGAACCTCGAAGGAGGGGGGAAGGGGGAAGCAAATCGCCTTGTTCTTCCCTAATCGCGCCCTTTTGTACGAAACCCAGAAAAGTTATCGCCTTTCCGCCCAAGCCCAATCAACAAAATTCGAACTTTAGGCGATTCCCAACTCTGCAAAAAAAAAAAATCACAAATTTAAGGCAAAGGCAAACAATCAGAAAGAGGAAAAAACCTGAGAAAATCGCACACGGATTGCCCATTAACACGAAACAGGAAACAAAACGAGAATTACCCAGAAAAAAAAAAGAATTATTGTCCAAAATCGAAAACAAAAATAGCCCAGAGAAAACGAAGGTCAACAAGCGCGAGAGGAAGAAAAAAACCCAGATGAGGAAGACAAAGACGATGACGATGATGATGATGAAAACAATATACTAACAGAAACACATTCAAGTTCTTCGTTCGCACCTCATTTTTTTGTTTGTTGACTTGAGAATTTTCCCCTTTCCCTTGTGGAGGAAAAATAATCTTTTTTTCCCTGTTCTTTATAATTGTCTCCTTTTCGTGATCCTGATACCGTTCTTCCTTCCGATGGCTGATCCAACGGTCTTGTTTTCCCCATCTTCTTTTTTTCTCCTTAATTTTTTTTAATAATTTTGCTTTATTTTTAAAATTATTGGGCTGCTGCCAGGTCTTCTTCACTATTGTAATTTAAATTTGTATGATTATGGATTTTGAAGCAGGCAACAAGGAAAATTCCCAAAAAAATCACCCAATTTAGAGATAACTAACCGATTCATCACGAATTTTTAAAACGTTCATATTCATACTGAATTTAAAATTTTTTTCTAAAAAATCATTCAGAATTTGAATTTTAACAAATTCCTCATTGACACTAAATTAAGTTTGACACGTAGATAGAAAACGCTTACGTGGTGCCTACGTGGGATGTACTAATTCACCACGTAGGATACACATCAGATTAATTTAAAAAAATTTAAAAAAATTTAAAAAAAATTTAAAAAAAGATTAAAAATTTAAAAAATTTAAAAAGATTTTAAAAAAATTTAAAAAATTTTAAAAATTGAAATTTTCAAAAATTGTAAAAATTGTAAAAACATTGTAAAAAATTGTAAAGAAATTGTAAAAATTGTAAAAAAATAAATTGCAAAAATTTCCAAAAATTGTAAAAACATTGTAAAAAATTGTAAGCAAATTGTAAAAAATGTAAAAATTTAAAGAAATTGTAAAAATTGAAAAAAAAATTGTAAAAATTGTAAAAACATTGTAAAAAATTATATATATAAATATAATTGGTGGGGTGATATATATGAAAGGAATGGCAATTGAAAAACCGATTTCATAAAAAAAGTTGTAAAAATCGGGATGGAGTAGAGATTTTTAGATCGGTTTTTAAAATTTTTATAATTTCTTTACAATTTTTACAAGTTTTTTACAATTTTTTCAATTTTTTACAATTTTTACATTTTTTATATTTTTTACATTTTTTTATAATTTTGTACAATTTTTTTATATTTTTTTACTATTAATATGACGTGTATATACGAGTTAGTACATATCACGTATATACCACGTAAGCGTTTTCTGTCTACGTGTCAAATTTAATTCGTCGCCAATGAGAAATTTGTTAAAATTCAAATTCTGAATGATTTTTTAGAAAAAAAATTTAAATTTAGTATGAATACGAACGTTTTAAAAGTTGAATTCGCTAATTATCTCTAAATTGGATGATTTTTTTTGGAATTTCTCCAGGCAATATTAATATTCTGCCGCAGTAATACGACATCGTTTTATCGGAGCCATCGGCGTTGAAAGTATTAAATCATTCAACGGTCTCATAATATCATAGACGACGTCGTTTTCGTAAATCTTCTTTCAAGCTGATTTTTTTTTCAGATAATTAATTGATTTTTCAATGTTGCGTTTTTTTCCATGTGAAATAAACAAATTTAATAAATTACTATGATTTCATAATCTCCTAATAAATTTTTTTTTGTCAGAGATATCGAACGCATTAAATACTATGAATCTCCACATCATTTTGTGGTGTGAGATCAATTAATAAATAAATATCACAATTCAATATTAAATATGTATATATAAACAAAATTTAATAAAAATCAACATGTAAGCTTAAAATAAAGGATTAAAACCATACCTAAAGACCAAGTTCAAAGGAGTAACCCAAAAGAAAGCAAAAAAAATCAAGTTGAAAGTTATGTAATCATGAAGGGTAGTAGAATTATATATATATATATATATATATAACCACGATGTTTCCCGAGTTTTCGATCCGACTACATCCATCCACCCTATATCCGAGATCAACCTTTGTATATGAAATATTTTGGTTCGGAAATTACATTTATTCCCACAAATGAAATCGAACCGAAGACCTTAAGAATAACTTTGTCAACTTTCGACCACTGAATCATCAACTGTTAGGTGAGGGACAGTAAAATTTTAGCACAACATTGGTGAATTAGTCAAAGGGTAGAAATAAAAATAACACATTGTATTAACAAACATATAAGTAAAACATATATCATATTTGAAATATATCATATTTTAATATATATGATTACCATAAGAATATTTTTTGTTCAAAGATCGAAAGAATGATAAAAAAAACTAATAAAAACAAAAAAAAAGAGTTTTTTTTAACAAATGATCTAACTGTTATCTTTCGGACGCATTGATTATGTAAACCTCTGATCCGAGAGCGAACAGAGAACGACCTTTGTATACGGACCTTCGGCCCATAAATTATCTTCCTCTCTACCATAAGAAATTGAACATTCGACCTGCGATACTTTTCCACCTCATACTGGCCAATCGAGCACCCCATGGTGGGTGGAAAAAAAAAAGAGTTAATTCAATGTATTCAGAAAGCTTAATAAAGAAAACGATAATATTACTTCCACTTGGATTTAGTAAGTTTTTGGCATCAAGCAACCTGTTTTCAACATATTATAAAAAAAACATGTTTTCAACAATTTTTTAAAAATTTCTTGCCCCCTTTTTTCAACTTTCCAAATTATAATTTCAATTTTTTATTACCAAAATATGTTATTACAAACTTATATCTCAACACACCTTCATATGCTTGGATGCCTTGTTCACCGATCTAAAAAAAACTGCATACCATTGTACAGTGGATATAGTCTATAGGTGTACTAACGCAAATGTTTCATTTTATTTAAGATAAATATATCATATTTAACAAAAAAATTGTGTGCTTTGAGAACATAAATTGATACAGATTAAATTAAAATTTTAAAGTGTTAAATATATTAAATTATACAAAATTAAAATTTTAAACTATATTTTTTATACCAAACATATTCTCATCATATTCATGTATCCACGATCTCTTATGTTTTCCATTTTTTTTCTGTAACTATTTATGTCTAATACATTTTTTATACCACTCTTATATCTCCAATTTCAATTCCATTTTTTTGGTAACATTAAAAAAAACATATTCACACTAACACCAACATCTTTTTCTGTCGTAGATTTCTCATTCGCATCTTTTTTTTTTTTCTATTTTAATTATTTCAATATTCTTTCATCTCTAACTTCACCTTCGACGCCTTGACCTAGCGAAACCAACACTGAATATATTTATATTTCGCTTTTATTTTATATAAAAACATACTTTTATTATTATTTTTAATATCTCAGCTCTAAATAAATCGAAAAAGATAAGAGAATATCACACTGCATCGTCTCGCGCCACATCAAATTGCGAGGAAAATGCAAGCGGATTCCCTGGCTGACACGTGTCAGTCACCCCTGGGCTTTGACGATTTCACCGGTTACCCTTCGGCTTATTGCTTATCTGTTTTTTTTTTAAATATTTTTTTTAAATCGTAAAAGAGAATCTTAATTGTCTCTCGTTTCTCGCACATTTCTCTCTCTCGCGGACTCGGTCGACGGAGACGCCCACCCTCGTTCTCTCTCGTATCGGCTCTCGAATCGAATCCCTTCTCCAGGAGGAAAACGTGGAAAGGAAAATTCGGAGACTCTTGCTTTGTCTTCTTCGAAAGTGGGTTGTCGAGGAATCTTCAATTCACTTTAGAGTTTATCTTCTTGGTCGTTCTCTCGGCGAGGGTTCGATTTCGATGCCAATAGATTCGTCTATCGCGTTCTTCTTGGGTGGGTTGTAGAATTAGGGCCGCATCGTTTGGATCTTCCCTGATCCAGGTTCTCGATTTCTCCATTTAATTCTATCCCAGTGACTTTTTCCCATCTTTGTCTGTTAGGTTTAGGTTTAGGTTCAGATTTCCTGGAAACCCTAGTTTTGATCGAGGAAGGGTAAACGCAATAGTGAAATTTTGATTGCATTCTTTTCTGCCCTCCTGATTTGTTGTTTGTAATTCTAGCTAGTATCTAGACATCGAAGTTCTCCTACGTGCCTATTTTCATTGTTTTGCCATCTGAAATCAGGAGTTTCCCGCTCAGGATAGATCTTCACACGATCTTCTTCCGTCATTTTTTTCTCTTCTTCTTTTCTTTCACCCTAGGTATTCCGTTGAAAATAACCACAAAAAAAGAATAGAATTTTGGGGTTTGTTCTTCAGGAAGGGTTTCTTTGGGTTGGGGGTATTGATTCTGTACAGGGAGACTCGGGGTTTTGAGTGTGTATAGGGATGGCCTTGAATTTTTCGCATAGACCCTTATTCTCTGCCCATACTTCTGAGGAAAATCTGGTTTCGCCGATGAGGATTGCTAATGGGTATCTGGTTGAGGGCAGGCCAGAGAGGAATGGGGATATATTTACCAGACCTTGGTGCTCGCTTCATGAAAAAGGAGATTGCTTTGATTATGCAAGGGGCTGGGGAGATAGGTGTGGCTCACAGGATTCAGCTTCTGTTGACATACTTGATATTCTGCCATCTGATCCATTCGGCATGGATATCAGCACTACTTTTACAGCGATTACTGGTTGGCTGGAGGACTTGGAGGTGGATTATACACAGTATAGGAGGGATGAGATTGGGATAGATGTTGGAAACTACCAGCTATTTGCTGGGCTGAATTTCATATGGAACAACGCAATGAAGTTTCAGGAGTTCTCACAGACCCGGAGCAGGGGGTTTGATAATGAATCTTGTCATGGTGCCTTTTTATCTGCTAGCAGTGTGGATAATGCGGTTTGCATTAGTGGTGAAGTTGACAGTAGAAATGGTCCCTGTGAGGACAACGAAGTCTGCATGAGTAGAGAAGATGAAACTCTTCACCCGGCCTTTAATTATTCCCTTTCTTATCTTGGAATAAAGGATCTTCTTTCAGTTGGTATGGTTTGCAAATCTCTGCAGTCTACTGTCCAAGGTGACCCACTATTGTGGAAGCATATCCACATTTCTCAGCCATTGAACGAGAAGATCACGAATGAGGTTCTACTGCAATTAACTGACAGGGCTCAGGGCACCCTGCATTGCTTGAGCCTCATAGAGTGCTCAAGGATCACAGATGAGGGTCTCAAACAGGTTCTTGAATCCAATCCTAAGCTGGTCAAGGTGAGGCTTTCTTCTTGTACTGTAAGTTTATGCTCTTAAGTAATATGGAATAATTAAACCGGATTTGTTAATTACTTTTTTGGGTGGACTTTAGTACCTGTTTACAGTTCGTAACTGTGTGATTACGTGCAATACAGTCTGCCTGACGTAAGGTTATGAGCTTTTTAAGAATTTCATAGCATTTGCTTTTGTCTTGAAAGGATGAGATTTGAATTGCCATTTACTTTGAAGTTTGATCCTGTCTCTGACCCTAAGTGCTACTAAAGTAAATTTTAGAGGATTTGACTTAGTTTATTTGTTAGACGATTGACCTTTTTCTCCATTCATTGTTCTACAGCTTAGTGTGCCTGGATGCACAAGGGTCACTGTTGAGGGGGTATTGAATATGTTGAAGGATTTGAAGTCTGTGGGAATGCTTGGAGTGAAAAACTTAAGGATAGGTGGGCTTTATGGGGTGACCAAGGATCACTTTGAGGAGTTGGTTCGCTTGTTGGGTATAGATGACCGTGTCAAACAGAATTCTCAGAATCCACGTTTTTACCACACGGGGGATTTATATTTGACATGTGACGAGGATCGCGCGATAGACATTGAGATGTGTCCGAAATGTCAGAATTTCAGGCTTGTGTATGACTGCCCAGCAAAAGGTTGTAAAATGGATGGGCATGACCAATCTTGCCGTGCTTGTACCCTTTGCATACAGAGGTGCGTGCAATGTGGCCGTTGTATTAATGACAGTGAATACGAAGAAACTTTTTGCCTGGAGTATCTCTGCTCTGATTGTTTGAACCAGGTTTCTAAGTGCCCGGATAGGCACATGGGTAGTATAACCCCGTCTGGGCCATCTTCTCCCTGTGAATCGAATTGCTCAGTTCTTCATGGCTAGGAGGGTAGGCTGGAAATTGCAAGTGTTTTTTGGGTTGATTTTCTAGTTGGTGTTTTTCTTCAGAAAATGTTGGGAGTGTCAGCATACGTGAGCGACTTATTTGGTTATCTTCATACAACAAAGTCAAGAGAAAAAGACACATGCATTGCTGTGGAATGCACTTTACTCAGGATGAGAAGGTGAAGCGGACTTTTTTCTATAACTCTACCGAGAAGAGTCTTTTTGTGGTTAAATGGTTCACTATCTGAAACCATTTTATAGGGTTTTTATACGCGATGATTCAGATGGGATCGATTTGGTAGAACTTGGTGACTGTAACGGGATGCAAACCCCTTCTCACATCTCTTGAGAGCTGATCATGGTCGTGTCTGTTCAGTCAGGTACCCACCATGGATGTCGGAAACTTTGGTGTGGTCATGGCTTCAGGCCGCCTCTGCTCAGAGGTTCCGAATGTCCATTCGGAACTGGTAACAGACAATTTCTTGCCTGGTTCTCCCTCCTGAGACAGGTAATGTTCTTCTTCGCCTTTGCGGATTATCCGCTCTTCTTTCCAAAGGCGTAATATAGACGAAGTCTTCCTCCGGATTTCAAATTCTGGTGATGATAAAGGATGGTGATTTTCAGAGGGCTGTAAGATCACTGTGTTTTTTTTTTATCTTGTTTTATGTATGAGACGTCGTCGAACGATAAGAATATTTCAGGACCTGAAATAAAGTTGGTATCTTTGGTTTGCATGATTCTTCATGTGATCAAAATTCCTTTTGGTTCAGTGTTTGACTCTCTCGTCCTCCATCTGGGTTTAGGGTTTAGGGTTGAGTTTTTCCTTTTCGGCATCGAACCGGGATTCCCCCGGTTTACTAAATGTCCAGGCCCATTAACTTCTGAGTGCAAAGCTAAGGGGCTCCAGTCCTGCGTATCAATTTTTAGGCCCATTAAGTTTATGGGCCCAGCTTGATTGGCCCATCAATAGCCGCAGGAAAGGGGATATTCTGCCATTTTCGAGGTTCGTGTCTCACGCGCTATGTCTTCTCGCGTTGACTCCACGCTCCTTTTTTCCCAATCCTCTTCGCATCTCTCTGACGAATGTCGGAACAGTGGGTTTCTATCTCGCACAAAACCAGGACCAGAAACCAGTATGTTCGTCTCTGACAAGCCTCGCCCGATCGTTTTCTACAAGAACGATATCAATTCCTCGACCGCCGCCCGCGACATGATAATCGAAGTCCCTGCCGACGGAGATCTGCCCCCGCATCAGCACAATAGCCACCATCATAACCAGCTCCACCAAGCTCAGCAACAGCAGCAGATGATCCTGGGCGACAGCAGCGGCGAAGACCATGAGATGAAGGCCCCGAAGAAGCGGGCGGAGACGTGGGTCCAGGACGAAACTCGGTGTCTGATCGCGTTGCGGAGGGAGATGGACGGTCTCTTCAACACGTCCAAGTCGAACAAGCACCTGTGGGAGCAGATTTCGGCTAAGATAAGGGAGAAGGGGTTCGATCGATCGCCAATGATGTGTACGGACAAGTGGAGGAACCTGTTGAAGGAGTTCAAGAAAGCTAGGCATCAGGATAGGGGAAGTGGATCCGCGAAGATGTCGTACTACAAGGAGATCGAGGAGATCCTCAGGGAGAGGAGCAAGAAGGCGGCGCAGTATAAGAGCCCTCCACCTTCCAAAGTTGATTCCTTTATGCAATTTGCCGACAAAGGTAAACTGCTTATGGTTAGGCAATTGGGTCGCCTAAATCTGTAGCTCAGAATAAGCTCCTAGAATGTGGAAAGATTGGTCCTCTGCTCTTTGACAAATTTTGTTCTTCTATGTTCCCCTTTTTGTGCTTCATAAATCTTGATGATCACTTGAAGTGTAGATGCCTTTTGGCTGTAAGAAGTAATCATGATTCTGGGATATTTTTATTTGATGGTATTCTGACCTTGTGATATATGGTTTCATGTTACCTTGAAGAAGTTACACTTGAGTTTCTACATAATAACTACGAATAGAGTGGAATCCATGATGTAAAGCTCTGAACTTTTTCTTGTTATGTCCTTAGGTTCCCGTCCTATTTTAGTTTATGTGCCAAAATGTCATAGATGAGGGTTTATTGTTGAGCAAACTGTTCTTGATGCCTCCTGTAATAGTACTTCTGGCTTCTCTTTGCCTTTTTCCAATATTTTTTTGTTCCTGCATTGCAAGTTTATGTCTATCTTTAAGCTGTCCCTTTCTTGTTTTCTCTGCATCTGGCCGGTCTTCTTTCATCCAATCCAAGTGCTGACCTTTTTGCACCCTGCCTGATATATTATAAGATTCTGCATTTTTTGATGAAGTGCGATGAAGTTTTCGGTGTCTCTGTCTTGCTGTAGGTTTTGACGATACCAGCCTTTCATTCGGATCAGTTGAAGGTACTGGTCTCCCGCTTCTTGTTTGAATGTTTGTATCTCACTATTTTACATAGAGGGAAGATTTGCTATTCCGTTTCTTATTAAAGATTGTTGTGTAAATTGTGTGAAATCCTTATCGAATGCCCATGAGCATCTGGAAATGGATGTGAACATCCCAGCGACACATTGTCCTATGGGATGAGGAATGTTCTGATGGTCAGTGGTTTACGGAGCTGTTATACCTGTATAAGGACGAGTTTTGGGAAACACTCTCACGTAAACTACTTATTTGTCGTGCTCATCCTTTTGTGCTGATACATGTTTTATACGTGTCAGCAGCTAGTGTCAGGCCAGCACTTAACCTTGAAAGGCGCCTAGACCATGACGGGCATCCTCTCACAATCGCAACCGCCGATGCAGTTGCGCCCAGTGGAGTTCCTCCTTGGAATTGGAGGGAGACCCCCGGAAACGGCAAGTATCAGAAGCTTATTAACTTAAGCCTCCAGTTAGTTTGTCAAAGGCAAGGCTTTCCTCATGAAAGCTTTGATCTTTACGTTCCAAGCTTGGTCTAAACGAAATTTCCACCTTGGCCCATTGGCCTTTGTACCGTAACATGGGTTGTCCTGTCCCTACTGTTTCTGTGGACTAAAGTTCCCATTTTTCATGTTTTCCAGCAGGTGGGGATGGTCATTCCTTTGGTGGGAGGGTCATCACAGTGAAATTCGGGGACTACACAAGAAGAATCGGCATTGATGGTACGGCGGAAGCAATCAAGGAAGCCATCAGATCCGCCTTTCGGTTAAGAACAAGACGAGCCTTCTGGCTCGAAGACGAAGAACAAATCGTCCGGAGCCTTGACCGAGACATGCCCCAAGGCAGTTACACTCTCCACGTCGACGAAGGTAAAGTCCTTTTCAGCTTATATCATGCAATCCAAGAGCAAACATATACATAAGAGAGATTGTTGGCTGTGTCGATACCCATTTCAGGACTGGCCATAAAGGTGTATCATTACGACGAGTCGGACCAGTTGCCGGTCCATACGGAGGAGAAGATGTTCTACACGGAAGAAGATTACAGAGAGTTTCTGGAGAGAAGGGGGTGGACTTGTCTCAGAGAGTTTGATGGGTTTCGGAACATAGACAATATGGATGATCTTCAACCCGGTGCCTTGTATCGTGGAATTAGATGATAGAAACATTATACTACTCACATATATATATATATATATATATTTCTTGGAAGATGTGAATATTTCGATATCAAATTTTATTTTGAGTCATCATATAATATGGTATTTAATAATTCGGTGGGGGTGACTGTGATTAGGATTTCAACAATCCAGAAGACGGTATTGGGCCCAGATGGGCCCATAGATTTTGAACTTCGAATATTCCACGTTCGGCGCGTGAGATGCCATGCAAGCTCAATCACCTACCTAGCAACTCCTTTTCTATATTTTTATTCATTTATTATTATTATAATAATGCTATAACGGTTAGATTGAGTGGCTCAAAATGGTAAATAAATAGAGAGAATATGGGTAATTATGTCATTATGAATGGATCAGATCTGCTTATTTCCCAAGAACAATTTTCAGACCACTGGATCAGCATCCCACCCCCCTCTCTTTTAAATAACCCTAAAGTCTCGCCAGACATTTCACTTGTCATTTCACTGAGAAGCCTCTCTCTCTCTACGAATCTCAACTGTTCATCTCTCTCGCTTCTCCGATCTCACTATGGGTGAGTTTCTCTAGTTTATATCGGTTTTGATCTTCGATTCCTTCGGTTTTTACTTGTATTCTGATTTTTTTTTTGGTTTGTGTAGCGGACAAGAAGATTAAGATCGGAATCAACGGTGAGTGTCTGATCGTTTTCTGATGTTGTTTCCGATGTTTCTCATTCGGATCTACGGCATCTGATTTCTGGTCAATGTGAATATTAGGATTCGGAAGAATCGGTCGTTTGGTCGCAAGAGTTATCTTGCAGAGGAACGATGTTGAGCTCGTCGCTGTCAACGATCCTTTCATCACCACTGAGTACATGGTTCGTTCCCTGTCCTCGGATATTGTCTTGATCTCTTGGTTTTGTTGGCCACTTTGATGATGCAATGCACCACATATTCTCCGATCATTCTGATCTCTTTGATATTTGCATACATTGTTTTCTTTCGTAAATGTGTTACTCTCCAGTATTTTTGTAATTCATACGATTTTTATATGCTGAGTTTAAGTGGACTCTCGATTTGGTTATCTGTGGGGTTAGTATAATCCTTCAAGTGTACCTTTGATGATACAGTGATTGTTCTTATGCTGTGGTCTTGATTATTGCAGACCTACATGTTCAAGTACGACAGTGTTCACGGTCAGTGGAAGCACCATGATCTCAAGGTCAAGGATGAGAAGACTCTTCTCTTTGGCGAGAAGCCCGTCACTGTTTTCGGTATCAGGTATATCTTCTGATCGGTCGTCCGTACGTATGTTTCTATGTGATTGAGACTGGTTCACTTGATTTATGATCGGTGTTTGTGCAGGAACCCTGAGGAGATCCCATGGGCTGAAGCTGGTGCTGAGTTTGTTGTTGAGTCCACCGGTGTATTTACTGACAAGGACAAGGCTGCTGCTCACTTGAAGGTTTGTTTTGTTTGCATCAGAATTTGTTTAGGGTCATGATCTAGGTCTGTTCTTTGATTCTTGAGTTTCTTGATGTGTTGGTAGATTGCTTCTAAGAAATGTTTCTGAATCATACAAATGCCAAGATAAATATGTGCATAAACATGCACAAGCCAAAATATGACTAATGATGCTTGAATGCATTTAAGAGTTAGAAATCGTGTACATGTGATGGGGACATTGTCGCTCTCCATATGAATTATGGTTTGGAACTGTGTAGTTACAGGGCACCTCAGCTGAAAGGTGACGAATACTAATATCATCTGAATTCTTTTCTATATTCAGGGTGGTGCCAAGAAGGTTATCATCTCTGCCCCGAGCAAGGATGCACCCATGTTTGTTGTTGGTGTCAATGAGCATGAGTACAAGCCTGAGCTTGACATTGTTTCCAATGCTAGTTGCACCACCAACTGCCTTGCTCCACTTGCCAAGGTCTTTTTATCTGGCCACCCACAATTTCTTTTAAAATTTGTTTCTTTTAATCCCCAAATAAACGATGTTGTTGTTGTTGTTGTTGTTGTTGTTATTTCTTAGAATCTTGATGTGTATTATGTTGGTAAACGTGGGACATGTGCAGGTTATTAACGACAGGTTCGGAATCGTAGAGGGCCTTATGACCACCGTCCATTCTATCACTGGTAAATTTGCGCTGCTGACAGTAACTTATATTTGTCTCAGTGAATTGATTTGAAGTGAGTTTCCTTTGACAATGATTTGTGGCTCAGCTACGCAGAAGACTGTTGATGGTCCATCAATGAAGGACTGGAGAGGTGGAAGAGCTGCATCCTTCAACATTATTCCTAGCAGCACTGGAGCTGCCAAGGTAAACGCAGAGCCGTTTCTCTGAGGGGTGTTTATGTTTACGTGATTGTAAAAAATTGCCGCGTTGTATTTGTGTGCTCTTCTCTGATAATTTTCTGTGCTGCTTCTGAAGGCTGTTGGCAAGGTTCTCCCAGCACTCAATGGAAAGTTGACGGGGATGGCCTTCCGTGTTCCGACAGTGGATGTCTCAGTTGTTGACCTTACTGTTAGGCTTGAGAAAGCTGCCACATACGATGAGATCAAGAAAGCTATCAAGTAAAGGGCTTATCCATGTGAATTTTCTTTTGGAACTTAGATTAGGTTTCCTAAGAGACGCTGTGGTGGTGGTGATCCTAATTTTTCCATGGGTGCTAAGTTGTGATTTTTAATCGGTGAATATGTGATACACAGGGAGGAGTCAGAAGGGAAGCTGAAGGGAATCTTGGGTTACACTGAGGATGATGTTGTTTCTACAGACTTTATTGGGGACAACAGGTACAAAAATCTTTTTTCTGATTTTATGTTGTTTCAGCTGCTGTGTTGGAAACCGGGACTGGTGTTTTCTAATTCCGTAATCGATGAAGCTTATATTTGAATTTTCAATTTGAAGAAAGTTCAAGATTGACCCGACATCATAGTATATCTGTGTGGTTGGGGTAATCGTAGTGAAAGATTGAACCTTGAATCAGGAGTGCTACGTTTTTGTTCTTCAAATAAACAGGTCGAGTATATTCGATGCAAAGGCTGGAATTGCGTTGAGCGAGAATTTTGTGAAGCTCGTCACTTGGTACGACAACGAGTGGGGATACAGGTACGTACGTTGTTCAACAACAGCACTGCACACACTTTGGTTGTCCTTGTGAAAAATTGTTTGTAGCAAGTAACAATACGCACCAACAACATATTGTTTTAACTATGGGTGTTTCGGGTGTGTATGCATATGCAGTTCACGTGTGGTCGACTTGATTGTTCACATGTCAAAGGCCTAAATCTCCCACCCTCTAATGGGACTATAGAGAGACGGAAAGGAAATCAAAGCAAGGCTCCTTCCTTCTCATGTTTGTTTCTTGGATTATAATAACATATATAAAACTTTGGAGTTTCCATTTCTTGCTCTGCCATGGCGTTTTGCTTGTATGACCTTTTGATTATGGTCCTTCAGATCAAATCTTTACTTGACATAATATTTGTGTTCGTTTCTGTTCTGATGATACAACACGGTCCTCTGGTTCTGGGCTTCTCCTTGTTTATGTTGCCTTCTGCTGCGTCACTCTCTGTTCCTTCTCTCCTCTCGTTCCGATTCTTCTCTCTCTTTCTAATCAATTTCACAATGTTCAATCTGCATATTGGCTTCACCAATCCCCTTTTCTCTCAAATCCTATCAGATAATTCTCCGTAAAATCAAGTCACCAAAACTGAATCTTAAAACCCCGCTTCTTAGCTTAACCGGACCGGTTCGGTTTATGCCGCCTCCGATATTCCCTCTCCGGTGGGAGAGCACCGGAGACCAGTGGTGGTTCGCATCTCCGATCGACTGGGCTGCCGCGAACGGCTTATACGACGTCGTCTCGGAGCTCCTCCGCCAAGACCCCAACCTCCTCTTCAAGCTCACCTCCCTCCGCCGCATCCGCCGCCTCGATTCCCTCTGGGACGATGGATGCGGCTCTGGCGTTTTCCAAGACGTGGCGCGAAACCGGTGCCACGTGGCGTGGAAGCTTCTTCGGGAATGCGAATCACACGGCGGCGGATGCAATTCCCTCATCGGAGCCGGTTACGGGGGTTGGCTCCTCTACACGGCGGCATCCGCCGGAGACTTGGGATTCGTTAAGAAGCTTCTAGAGATAGACCCACTTCTCGTCTTCGGAGAAGGAGAGTACGGTGTCACCGATATCCTCTACGCCGCGTCGCGTGGGAGGAACAGCGACGTCTTCCGGCTGATTATGGACTTCGCGTTGTTTCCGGCGGGAATCTCCGGAGAAGAAGACGAGAGGTTGAACGAGAAACAGCTGGTGGTGAAAGAGGAGATGGCAAAGAGAGGTGTTCATGGCGCGGCGAGAGGTGGACACGTGGCGTTGCTGGAGGAGCTCGTGCTTTACTGGAGATACGACGTCGTTCACGAGCTCAGAGATGCTCATGGAGCTACGCTCCTGCACTCTGCCTCGAGCTCAGGCCAAGTCGAAGTAAGTTCTTTAATGGTGATACTCATATTGTCCTGCAATGCAAACACACACACACGATATGACCAAATACTGTGGAATGGAATATGCAGGTTTTGGAGTATCTGATATCGAAGTATGATTCAATCACGACGGCAAAAGACAGCCATGGAAACACGGCTTTACACACAGCAGCGTACAGCGGTAACTTGCCTGTGGTCAAGGCTCTGTTACTCGCATCTCCTCCATTGTTGTCCCTTTCCAACAATCGCGGCGACACGTTTCTTCACGCTGTCGTGTCTGGTTTCGCGGTCTCCGGATTCAAGAGACTTGACCTTCAGATGAAGCTCCTGAAACATCTGGTCTCTGGAAGCTTCGTGAACCTTACAGAGGTCGTCAACGTTAAGAACTATAACGGAAGAACCGCT